GAGCGGCTGCCCCGACAACTGGGGATGGCACCCGCTAAAAATATGCTAGGCTGCGATTACAAGTGACCTAGAAATACAAGTTGCATTTCTGCCCTCTCTGCTTATCATAAAAACCTAATGCCGAGTTTTCTACTAATCCCTTAACATTGAAAAGATCAGGGAAATAAATCCCTTTCTAGCCTAGCTCCCTAAGGAAGGGCAGCTCACACGGCTGTGAGATTTTTCCCCACCTTCCCCAGGAAAACTCCGGGAGCTGCTCCAGAGCCAGCCCCGCTCGGCAGCGCGAGAGCAGTCTTGAAGGCAAGCGCGTGCCCAAGAGGTTCATGCAAACCCGTGGGCGGTAGAGGACGGAAACTCGAGCGAAGGCTCCCCGGGAGGAGAAGGTAGGCGAACTTGGCTGTCACATACGCCATTTGGCAGCGCCCAGCCGGCCGACACCGAACAAGCCCCCGTACAGCAATAGCATCTCTGCTTAGTGGGTCGCAGGAGACGAGCGGTGGGATGGGGGGAAGGAAACCTCTGTCACGGAGCAGCTTGCGAGCCCGAGTGCTCTGCCAGACTGAGGGTTTTTCCTTGCTCCTTCCTTCACGGGCTGTCAGATCCCCCAGCAACAGCTTCTCTCCCCACTGTTTACAAGGGAACAGAAGTAAAAAGCCTCCGTTTCCTCTTCTCATCCCTTGGTTTCAATCTCATCACGTGATAACCCTTAATCCAATTCCCCAGTCTACCAGCAAGACGACAGAGGATTAGCGCTGATATTCCCGACTTTAAAAAGGACTAGGAGAAACTTCCTGCTTGCTAGAGAAGAGGCAGTCTGACGGGAAGGACGCGACAAACGTACTTCACCGAGAGGGAGAACCAAGCTTTCCTGCTTCCCACTTCACGGGATTTCAGGCAACTCTAGCAAGTCAGGAATAGGACACGGGGAACTCAAAGCATTGCGTCACAAGAGGGCTGGATGCTAACACGCATACCGAATGGGGCAGGATAAGGCAGAAAAACGGTAGCGTTCCTTGCAAGTCTACGGTGAGGCCCTGTCTGACGCTTCACACGTTCCTGCTCACCCCCTCGAGAGCTGTTGGGGCTCAGAGAAGAGAAACAGGACTGAAACCAGAGCGAGACGCGGACCGTGAGCCGAGAACGCAGACGAGGCAGAGGGGACGCACAGGGCAGAGCCTACGCACGGTGGAGAGGAGCTCCCGAGCTGCCTCCCGCGGCAAAGAACAGAAGGAACCAGAACAGCGGAAAAATTCAGGGCCCAAAACACCTCCTTCTCCCTGGCAACACACAAGCGAGCCGCGTCCCCCACTGCCCTACAAATTCAGCCAGATCCCGAAGGACGGGACGTCCCTGTAGACGCCAGGGCAGCCCAGAGTTAACTGCCAAGAGTTTCTTAAGTCTGCTGTTAAACCAGCCACTGTTACTCAGGATTAGCACAAATCTAGGAGTGGATAAAGCACTCCGCATCTGCCTAGCGCGGAGCCTGCCGTCGCTTCCCACGAAAGGGCAGATGTCGTCCTCCCCGCAGCCAGGCTTCGCGGCTGCGCAGGGGGCAGGCCCCCAAATCCCCCTTTCCTAGAACAGGACTGGGTCAGGCTTTTTTTTTTTTTTTTAAATGCCATTTTTTTTAAAACGCCATAAACCAAGGCAGACGAACAAAAGCCGAACGAGAGGTCTTGGCGTCCGGCAGGTTGCTTTTAAGTTTCCCAGCGAAGCAGCTTGGTTTCCCAGGCTGCTACGCTGATCCCGAGCTATCCCGCTCTCGCGGAGGGCGTCCTACCCGAAAGGTTTCGTTGGCGGGAGCCGACGACTCACGCGACGGTCTCGGGAGGGAGCGGGGCTGCGGCGGTCCCGCGCGCC